TCGAAAACAAGAGGAGATAGACATAGAGTTCATAAGACAAAAAATTCTCATTTTTTATCATACTATCACCCTCTTTATTTACGGGAGGTCTTTCTGAAACACCCTGTATATATTTTTCGTTTTATTCTTGTAATTGTAAATATCTATATGCTCAATTTAGCCAAATAAATATCGAGAAAAGAATTAAACGATTTTAAAAAAGTATGTATGGTGTAAAAAAATTATGCATAAAAGTTTTGGGATTTTCTTTTAGAAAAATAGTAAAATTTTTGTAAAAATAACAAACGCGAATGAAAACTTGAAAGAGAAAAAAGGATTTTTATATCAAGTATAATATTAATTTATTTAGAAATAATGTATTATGCACTAAGATCGTATTAATCGCCTCAAAAATAACTTCATTTGTTTATAACTTTTAAATTTTTAAGCATAAAATAAGCAATATTATAATTATTTATTTGAAACAAATAATAATTTACATAATAATAATTAATAACCATTTATAAATATGAAATTTTTGGAGTGAAAAAATTAAATTTCATCACGTTTATTGATTTATTGATTTTTTAATAATTTGCGGACATTAAATCGTCGGACACTTATATCACTATTTTGTACAGTAAATTTAAATGTGGAAAAAATTAAAATTAGATATGTGGTAATCGATTTTTCATACCCCGTGAAAATTCCGATTTCCAGCTGTCGGACTGAAAAAACGCGGCTTGAAATTTGTCGGACAACAATACTTTTTGGCTGAATTAATTATTTACAATTAATTTTACTAAAAATTACGTATGTGGTAATTGATTTTCAATACCCTGTTATTTTGGCATGTTTCGACCGGTAGACACGTCAATGTCGGAGGAATTTCTGTCGGACAAATTTAAATCGGCATTTGCAACAAAATTTCCAGTTACTTAAGCTAAAAATAAAAGATGTGGTCTTGGGTTTTCAAGACCCCGGGAAATTGACATGTTTTTGGACTTTTCCGAGTGGAAAAGCGGAGGAATCGTGAAAAGTCGCAGAGGAAAAATGTGGTAGACTCATCAAAACGAAGCTCCTCAGGAGTTATAAAGTATGTGGTAATCAACTTTCCAGAGGAGGCCTGTACTGTGGACTAATTTTTTAGTTTCAAATAAAACTAGGCCCAACAGTCAGTAAAGTCGATTCGCACGAAGGAGGGAGGTGTCACCGAACCCGAGACTGCATTAAATCTAATGTAAAATAAATATAAAATCATCGTAGACAGCGAAAACACAGCGACATCGCTGCATCAGTCATCAATAAAAATTTAGATAGTGACAGACACATACGAAATACCAATCGACTACTGACTCTCGGACCACGGTAAAACCATAAATCTGACTATTATTTTATTATCAAACCATTTTAGAAAGTTTTATGATATTTTTTTTTACAAAAAAAAAAAGCAATACGAAGTTCTACGCCTTCCCAGGAGTCTCACAAGCCGCGGCTTCGAAAAAATCGGGTAGCAAGAATCTACTAGGAAACGGAGGCGTAGACAAAAAAAGATCTTTTCTGCTAATATACCTATATTCTCTCGGTACTGAAGCACAATAAGTAAAAAGATCGACGAAATTCGCTTTAGAAATCGGATATATGTAGTATTTCGAATTTTTCATTTGTTAAATTGTTCTGATTTTCATATTTACGTTGATCGCGCGACTAACTTCTCTAAAAAATGTTGTAATTCTTGTTCTTTCAAAAAGTCTGTTGATAAATCTCAAGCTCTTTATAATATCTGGAATAAAATATTCTTCTTGATCCAGGTAATGATTACAGGGTAACGCTAAGTGCAGATTTGGTTATATTGAGTGACTTTCAGCTCACGTATCTCCGAAACCGTGCATAGGCGGAGGTTGGACCAATGGGGGCTTTTGATCTACATCATACCACATCTACTTGATCCCACATTTTCAAGCAATTTGACGAAGAAAAGTCTTTTTCCACTGGTTTTGTGCGGGATCCTTTAAATTTAAACACTTCGAATTACGTTCATATAAATTTTTTTTCACAAAATATTGCAGCGACCACCTCCTAAAATATTTCGCACTTATTTACAAACACCCTGTATACATAGAAATAACGGTATTCAGAACACATCTCATATTATATATTACGAATTATATAGGGCGGGCCATAAATTTATTCACTTTTAAATATTTAATAAAAATAAAACTGTATCACTTGTTTGAAAAATAATTTATTAAAGAAAAAGAATAAACGGGAGTTTATTTTTTAAAATTAATCTAATTTACCACCGTCTCGATTTCAACATGCTTCTAAACGAGCACAGAAATTTTTTAAAGACTCTCCGGCAAAGAGACCATAATATTGCAGTCATCTCTTCTCTACTACTGTTTGCTTTTAATCGAAGCAGTGTCGTTGATCTACGGATGTACACACGATTCTTCAAATATTCTCATAAAAAGAAATCTGCTGGCATCAAATCGGGACTCCTGAGTGGCCATGTGATGTTCCCTCTCCTGGAAATCAGTTTATTTCACTACCGGTAAAGACTCGTTAGAGGTGTGCCAAGTGGCTCCGTCGGTTGGGCTATAGCTCTTGGGTACCTGGCATATCTCCGTCAAAAATGAATATAAAAATCGGAAATTTTAAAGGTGTGCTCTAGATGGGGAGACCTAAGAGCGCACGTAATTTCAACTCATCCCTTCCATCCTAGGGGGTGCAGAGGGGGTAAGGGTTTTTTTTTTGGACGTACCTTATTTATTTTGCGATTTTCGGATTCTACGCGTAAAACTACCCCCGGAAACGCGTTCTTGCGGGTACGTCTAAAAACCACCCCTCACCCCCTCCACACCTCCTAGGGTGGAAAGGGTGAGTTGAAATTACGTTCGCTCTTAGGTCTCCCCATCTAGAGTACACCCCTAAAATTTCCAATTTTTATATTCATTTTTGACGGAGATATGCCAGTTACCCAAGAGCTATAGTCCAGCCTCCTGTACTAGTTAGATCTTGTATGGATATAATTTCGAATCCAATTTCGAAATGCGGCGTGAGGCTGTAGCGTCGAGCTGAAGCGGAAATTTCTCGTCTCTTCAAACTTCTTCACCCATTTCATAATTAAAACAAGCTAGCGGTTAATCCTCTCCGCAAGCCTCCCGCGACTTGAGTTTACGCCGCAAATTTGATTTTTTGAAGTAAACAAATTCATGGCCCATATTATTTCTGCAAGTTTCATAGATGACGTGATAAAACAAAGTTATTCTTTTAGAGAGCTTGGGGGCCAGCTAGGATCTGCCCTGCTGACAGAGGGCAACCCGTTGCTGATGCACTACCTAATGTTCATACCAACCTTAATAGGTCAAGGAACCGCTGAACAACAAACAATATGGCTCCAGAAGGCATGGACATGCAACATTATAGGAACTTATGCACAAGTACGTAAATTTGTACACATTAGTTTATAACTGAACCACGCAATTACAACATTTCAGACCGAACTAGGACATGGAACGTTTATTAGAGGGCTGGAAACTACAGCTACGTACGATCCGAAAACGGAAGAGTTTATTTTGAATTGTCCCACATTAACGGCGTACAAGTGGTGGCCAGGGGGGCGTAAGTTTAAAGCGTTTTATAAATATTTTTGTTCTAACAGTATTTGTAGTGGGTCACTCGGCTAATTATGCTATTGTATTCGCACAACTTTACACCCAGGACAAATGCCACGGGATTCACGCGTTTATAGTCCAACTTAGGGACGAGGAAACGCATGATCCTCTACCAGGAATTAAAGTAGGTGAAATTGGTCGTAAACTGGGGATGAACGGTGCAAATAATGGTTATCTAGGCATCGAGAATGTCAGAATTCCTAGAACAAACATGCTTATGAAAAACAGCGAAGTCTTACCTGTAGGTAAAATAATGTTTGCAAACATGTTTTACGTTACTTTTATTTTAGAATGGTACTTACGTAAAATCACCTAGTAGTAAGTTGACGTATGGTACAATGATATTTGCTCGAGTAGTCTTAGTGGAATATGCAGTTATATTGTTGAAAAGGGCTGCAGTTATAGCCACAAGATACAGCGCTGTGCGCCACCAATCACAAATTTATTTAAAGTAAGATCATTATAAAATTAATCGTTACCACTTTGAGCGTTGGTTAAGAGGGGTACACAGATCCCTTTTTTAAAATATCTCAAGATGTCTCAATTCCAGTACATCTTAGTAACTATCGTTCTAGTAATTTCTTAATAAATTCTATATCCATAAATCCTTATCCATCCCTTAGATATTTATATTTTACACGTAGCAATATCTGCTTCAAGCAAGTTGCAGTACTTTTTAAGTCCAGTTCATCAATTCTGACCTATTACCAAATCATTGTTTAGGATAAACCTGTAGCTATTTAACATTTTTATTTAAAATCTTATAAAAACGATATAATAATGAAAACTGAACAAATCAAACAAAAACAAATAAGACAAATATATACCAGATAAAAAATAAAAATTCTTATACGGTAGTGTAGAATGTGCAATACGGGATACCAAGAATACCTAAATATAGTTAAATATTTCTACTTGTTATCCCTGTAGGGACATGGGTGGCCATTTTTATAAAAAATGATTCAATGAAGGACTTAATTTAAATTTGGTTTAAGAAATTGTAGGCTTAATAAAATTTCATATAAATAGTATCCTGAAATTATTAGTGCTTTCTGTGACTGGGAGAAGGAAAAAATGTATGAACATGATCCATTTTTCGACTATCAGATTCAAAACTTAGAACTAATATTTTCAAATTTCAAATTATTATCTTTAGTCTATTATTATTATCTTTAACCCAGTATCTACAATTATGAGAAGAAACCACGCCATTAGCTGTGAATGTTAATTTGTCAGTAAATAAAATATTAATCCAGTCAAAACAGACATTTCAATTTACAATAATTCGCATAGAGCTAAATACTGGTATAGGTCTTTAGTACACTATTATAAGTAGAATGTCAAAAGTCCCCACCGATCCCATGCTAAAAAATGTATTCAAGGTCAAAGGTCGCAAATATCGGTTTTTTGCATTTTTCTCGTAAACGGTAAGTGTTATCATAAAAATAGATCTGACAAAAGTTGTAGATCATGCAATTGTTTACAAAAATGGTCCCAATACTTTTTTTTCTGCGAATCTCCATTTCTGAGATATCACCATTTCAAATCTTGAAGAAGTCGCATTCTACATGATATGCACACATTTCCGCACCACCTATGAGGTAGTGTACCCGGCCCGTTTTTTTTAACGTAGTTTCCCCAGTAGGCATACTCCACGATCTACTGTGATTCAGATTTATAAGATAATATTATATTCAATAAAAAATGGTACTATTGGTTATGATTAAACTGGAACGAATTATTGTTGATTTCGGGAAAATTTTAATCTGACAATCTTCAAATGCTAGTTCAACAATAATGTCTTCACGCTTTCTTTTTCATCTTCTTCCCCTTGCTGGATATCTATGAATTATTGGCTCCAAAATGTTATCTATTAATTTCTAATCCCAGTCTTCTGGGTTCAGTTGATTGTCTAGCCACACTTGAACTTGATGGTATACTCAATATAAGTGTTGATAAGCAGAAGCAGATGTTGGAGGAAGACAAGATAGTTGTACTTTTTTATTGTTCCGTATATTTTTAACAAAATTTAAATATCTATACTTGTCTCTACAATCAATTTTTTTGGACCTCTATATAGAGCAAGTAGAAAGCGCATCTGTTTTAGATGATGACTTCTAGAGAAGAGTCAATCTTTTTAAATACTTCTGCGCAATCAATTAAATCATTACGTTTTTCAACCAATTTTAATTCAACCAATTTAAATACTGATGTTTTACCCCTTCTGAACATTGCTGATGTAGTATCGCAGCCAGTTAATGCATGTAAAAATAAGATATGATTTTGATATTTTGGATAAGCAGATAAACTGTTCGATGAACAATATATTTTTGATTGTACATGAACCTTCCCAGGTTTCAAAAAATAAACAATCTTATTAAATGGAGTTCGTGCAGTCAGTAGTATTAATAAATCAACATCTTCACCAACAACGATAGTTGTAGTTGTTTCATTAAATTGTTCTATTGCTTTTTTAATTATAAGGACATCAGCGTCATTATTAGCTTGTTTTACTACAATGTTCGCAGTTGTAAATTTCTCACATAACATTGAAATAAAGCGAGAGTTGTGAGTATTTGCAAGAAATTGCTGTTGGTTTGTTGGTAAATTGATAAAAAATTACATCAGAAGATGTTTTTGTAGTTCGACGACGTTGTTCTGCAGCTTTAATGTTTTTCTTATAATCAGTATAACCATCAAACACTGTAGTTACTCTATGACCAAAATGTCTATGTACATACTGAATGTATTTATTAAAAATAACGTTAAATGTTTCTTCGCAAATCCATACAACGTGGTGTAATAGCTATCCTCCATCGATGATGTAAGTAGCATGTGCGTTTTGAGTTTATATTCATTCAATCGTATAGTTCGTATGTATTAGTTAGACAGACCTATATTGTTTCTTATATTAAACGTCCGATTACATCATCGGCGTACTCTTGAATATTAGTATTTTCGATGTTTGAAATGATCAGGAATGGTGATTCGTAGAGAAAAAAGTATTGGGACAATTTTTGTAGATAATTGTATGATCTACAACTTCTGTCTGATCTATTTTTAAGATAATACTTACTGTTTACGAGAAAAATGCAAAAAAAAATATTTGCGATCTTAGACCTTGAATACATTTTACTTATAACAGTGTTCCAAAAACCTATACCAATATTTAGCTCTATGCGAATTATTGTAAACTTACCACTATTTTTTGGTCTATTTTATATTGTGATGAAGGAATCTGTTTTCAATCAGTTTTTCGACAATTATTAAACAGAAGTCCACACGACAACCATCATCTCCATCAAGCTATTTATGATTAAACACTGGTTTGAATGGATTGAATGGTTAAAATTTGTTGTACCTATACTAAATTCCTTGAATATGAGATCTGCTAAATCTATGTTTTGTGACCGTTTCCTAAGTGACACATTTGGATCGTCTTGTGCAGAATCCTTAACTACAATAGTTGCAGCATCGTAATCATTGTATTATTTTTTATCTTTTCACTATGGTTTTAGAAGATAAGCAAAACTTTTTATCAAGCATAACTTTTTCTCGAAAAATCTACAATAAAAGTGTTTACAATACTGTGGTACACACTGTATATCCCCATACGTCCCACATCCCCAAGAAATGTTCTCAGCGGTGTACACCACAACAAAACTCAATGTGCCTCCCCTTCCCCAAAAAAAAATTTCATTTACATTATTTTATTTAAGTGGACCTGAGGTACAAATTCTGGATTTTGTGACGCAACAATACAAGTTATTCCCTTATATATCCATGTGCTTCGCCTTCCAATTTGCTGGAAGTTGGCTGTGGAATACTTATAACACAGTTAACGAAGAGTTGAAATTCGGACAATTGGACAATCTGTCAGAAGTAAGAACTGTTGATTTTTCCTTTCGATTTCTAATTAATCCTTTCGTAGCTACACGCAGTGTCTTGCGTTCTGAAAGCCGTAAGCAGCGCCGACGCGGCCGAAGGCGTTGAAACTCTTCGTTTGGCTTGCGGAGGTCACGGCTACATGACCTCATCAAATTTACCGAACATCTATGGACTAGTTACGGCGGTGTGTACTTACGAAGGCGAAAATACCGTTCTACTACTACAGACTGCTAGATTTTTAATCAAGGCCTGGCAAAATAAGACGAACATGGGTAAATCACCGACTCTGAAGTATTTGGAAATGCCCCTCGAGGAAAACATTCCATTCGAAAGATCGGTAAATTGGATCATTTCCACTTTACAGCAGACGGTGGTAAGGTAAGTTACCACATACAGGTCTGGCCATATTTTATTTCCGATACAAAGTTAGTAAATTATAGAAATATTTCACCAGTGTCTCCTAATAATTCTGACTCCGCCCCCATATCATTTGCATAACTTTATGCCATCGATATAAAGGAACAAAAAAACGCTATAAGAAGTGCGCAAAGCCTGCGGTTCTAAGCTCTCCTTGACTATTGGTTTATTGTATGTGTCTTGCATTAGGAATTTGGGAACAACGTACGTCTAAGATACATACATACATAGGGAAGATATTGGACCACCGAGGGATTTTTTCCCTAATGGATTCACAAAACTCCATACGCCTTATTTCTTGAGAACTTTGCATTTTATAGGTTTTGTAACCATTCTTTTTTAAGATGCGACGAACTGTACGACTTGGAATGTCAAGTTCTTCGGAAATTTGGGAGGAAGAACACGGCTCACTTACTTCCACAAAAGCATAGACATTAACCTCTTTTTCTCTCCTTGCTTCAGGAATTTGACGAGGTTCCTGATTGCTACAACATTTCGTACACCGATTAACACATCCACAAACTTCAAACTTGAAAAATAATCAAAACAGTTCTAGCAGTGGGGACTGGTTCGTCGGGGTATGAAAATATAAATCGACCAACGACTTCCTCTGCACTTTCTGCACGACAATACCATTTAATAATATTAATTTTTGTTCGACACTGTACACCAATAATAATAAAAATAAAACTAAACAAACAGCAAAGCGCTTTAGGTATTCGGTCGGTTCACAAAAAATGTAACGGGGCACGTGTGCTCCCACAGCCAACCAATTATGAGAGTCCGAGTAGGAGCTTCGATGATATATGTCATGTCCGACCCCTTCCACCCGAAGTTGATAGGGGAGGTGTGTGTAATTTACTTAAACTATGCGAAAGAATTACCTGGCCAGACCTGTGTACGAAATCACTTTTGTTGTATCAACTATCTGTTAAATAACCGTTTAGCAAAATCAACCTAGTTAACCACCATATCAATGAACGGGTTAAAAATGGCGAGACATATGAGGATGCTTGGAACAATACATCAATAGAATTGGCAGCCGTGGCAGTATTACACGGTAGAACGTTTATAGTCGAAACGTACTCTAACACCGTTAGCGATTTCCAGAAGAAGGTTTCGCCAGAATTACGTACCGTGTTGCAGCAGCTTTTAGAACTTTACGCGGTTTATACGATTCTCAGATCGACTGGTGATGTCTTAAGAGTAAGTACGACGACATTTCTAATTGTTTTTATTGATATTGAATCTTGTAGTTTACTGGCACCTCAAGAAAAGATATTGAAGTGATTCAATTGTGGCTTGAAGAATTATTAGCTAGTATACGTCCCAATGCGGTTGGTATAGTGGATGGCTTTGATATGCGCGATGAGATATTGTCGTCAACTTTGGGAGCTTACGATGGCAATGTTTATCAGAGATTGTTCGCCGAGGCACAGAAAAGTCCTTTAAATGCTGAGCCAGTCAACAAATCGTTCCATATGTACCTTAAACCTTTCATGAGGTCTAATCTTTAGATTTCCTTGAAACGTATACACATTTTTCTTTACTCAGTTTTTATTACATTTCTTTTTTGTATGAAACGAAAACACTTCTAACTGGAAGGGGTATACGAAAATTGTTAGTTGGCGACTTCTAGTATCCTAATTAAAATAACTTTTTTTTCAATGATATTAAAGACTTGTCATACGTAGTGCGATGCAAAGAATTAGCTTTAATAAGGGTTTAATATACAAATAAGTTTTTATTTATTTCACCCCAGCATACCTTGGCTCAAAGTGTACAATAAAAATTTAAATAAAAAAAATATTGACTAATTCATTCCCTTTTTATACTAAATATCAACATTCTCATCTAAAAAAACGAAACACATTTATCATTTCCAATTTACGATTTACTTTGGAATGGTCAATTTGCAATACTTAAATAAACAAGTATGTAATATTATAGAAAAAAAAGGATATTAGAATAAATAAATGAAGCGTTTGCCATTATATTATGACCGAACAACTGTGTTTTATTATATACCACTAAAAAAAGGGTTGGTTTCCTTAAACTGATGTTAGTCTCCAGCATTAATAGTTATTTATAGAAATTTTGAGGAGCTTCTATGAAATATCCTTTTGCTATTTTGTGAAAATTAATAGCGTTTATACGAAAATCGAATATTGATAGACTAAATGTATGCATTTCGATGAAATTCAGAAATTTTGTGAAATACACTAGATACATAATTTTTTAGTGTAATTTACACTTAAGACATTGGAAGATTGGATATGTGAGAATAGATTGTAATATGTATGTAGTATGAAAACATTTGCCTCATTTTTTAAGTTTAGTTATTGTTATCATCACCTTTTGTTTTAACTGTATTAGAAAATTGTTGAACTTAATCCTTTTATTTATTCTTAATGACATTTATGCACTTTAAACAACGAACATTAAATTATTTTCCGACAACTACTTGATCCTTCCACCGCTAATGTGATTTATAGGTGGTATTTCTTTTGAGACTCTTTAGAACAGGGATGCACATACCGCGGCCCGCGGGCCGTATGCGGCCCGCTGTCGATGTTTATGCGGCCCGCCAACGAATTTTAAAAGTATTCTACTCGCCGCGCTCCGGTCCAAGCATATTATTACGAGACTAGAAATCTGTCGCATCAACTAGATTACAGATTCGCGAAACACGTCGATCCCCGAACAAAGTGGATGGTTCTCGATGTTTGGTAACTCGTATAAATACGACGCATCGCCGGCTACCGGGGCAGTTAAGTTTTGACTACGGATAAGCGAACGTTATACTGTTTGAGAACTGTAATCTGTGACGAGTAAATATTTCGTCTTTCGAAGTTTGTTTTTACCGACTGTAACATATAATATTAATTTTGATATCGATAAACCAGGCCCCAGTAAGAAACGTAGTCGTAAGGATGAAAATGTAAATCGACAGTTTCATGATATTTAGACCGAAAAATACTTTTTTATTTCATCGCATAACAAAATTGTCTGTTTAATATGCAAGAGTAGTGTTTCTATTCCGAAGGAATATATTGTGAAAAGGCACTATGAAACCTAGCATCCAACTTTTACCAAATTAACTGGCGAAAATCGAACGCAGAGAATTTCCACTTTACAACGGGAACTAATAGGCCAGCAATCTATGTTTACAAAACCAATTCAAGATGCTGAAATAGCCACTGAAGTTAGCTTTGAAATATCTCGAATAATAGCGAAAACTTGTCGGCCTTTTAAAGATGGTGAGTTTGTTAAGCAATGTTTGGATATCGAAGCAAAAAAAAATTTGTCTGGAAAATGTAAAGAAATTAGAAAAAATTCAGTTAAATCGGATGACTGTTCAAAGAAGAATTACCGCATTAGCAGATAATATAGAAGAGCAATTAGCTACGAAATCGAGAAGTTTTGAGTATTTTTCTGTAGCGCTCGACGAATCTACAGATATAAGTTCAACTGCTCAACTATTAATATTTTTACGAGGTGTAACGCAAAATTTTTAAGTGAGTGAAGAACTGATTGGTATGAGTTCTTTGACAAGTCAAACCAGGGGAAGTGACATGCTCAAAGCTCTTCTAGAAAAATGTTCTATAATGGATTTGGATTTAACGAAAATATCTGGAATTACAACTGACGGAGCACCTTCAATGGTTGGAAGTACATCTGGGATAGTAACTCTGTTAAAAACATATTTACAAACTAAAAACATAAATACCAAGGAATTAATGCAGTTTCATTGTATTATACATCAAGTTCAAAATTATTGGGATTTGAAAATGTTATGAAAGTTGTAGTACCTACCGTAAACTTTATAAAATCACGAGGTCTCAATCACCGACAATTCACACAATTTCTCGAGGATATTGAAAGCGAATATGGTGATCTTCTGTTTTACACTGAAGTAAGGTGGCTAAGTCGTGGGTTGATACTACAGCGATTTCTTAACTTGATTGAAGAAATCCAACTATTTCTGGCGGAAAAGAAAAACGACGTCCCCGAACTCGACAACCCTGATTGGCTGTGTGACTTAGCGTTTCTTGTAGACATCACATATCACTTGAATGTCTTAAATACGCGACTCCAATGCAAAGATCAATTGATTTCGCAGCTATACTCTCATGTTTCGTCCTTTCAATGCAAATTGAGTCTTTTCAGGACACAAATCAATTCAGCCAATTACGGCCATTTTCCGAACTACAAAAAAATTATGGAGAAGTTCAATAAAACTGACGTCAATTTCGCTCATGTTGAAAAAATTGATATTTTGATACAAGCATTTGAAAATCGTTTTGTAGACTTCAAAAAAGTTAAACCGCTATTGGACATTTTCAGCAATTCTTTCAACATTTCACCCGAAAATGCGCCGGAATTAATGCAGCTGGAATTAATAGACATGCAAAATGATGATAATTTAAGAAACAAATTTAATGAAGGTAATTTACTCAACATCTACCGTTGCGTTGATAAAAACGCTTATAAAGAGTTGCGAATAAATGCATTGAAATGCGCAAGCTTATTTGGATCGACGTATATTTGTGAACAAACGTTTTCAGTGATGAAACTTAACAAAACGAAAAACCGAAACCGTCTGGCAAATGAAAATTTGGAAGCAATTATACGTGTGGCTACAAGTAATGTGGAGCCAAATATAAAAAAACTTGTTAGTTCAATGCAATGTCATGCATCAAAATAATAAAACATGAAATATTACATTGTAATGATTATGTAATTATTACAACAAACATTTTTGAAGGTTATTTTATTTTTATCATTGTATTTCATACTATTTAAAAATAAAAAATTTTGTGTTAATAAATATTGTTTGTAGTGGCCCGTCCTTGGCTTATATTTTTCCCGAGTGGCCCCTGTTCCCTATAAGTCTGCTGTGCATCCCTGCTTTAGAACGATATTGCTTATAACTTTTAAACGGGAGGTGATACAGAAAAATTTCTCTAATAAAAGTATATTAGAAAAAAGAGAGCATTTTAACAGAAACAAATATTGGGTATGTTTCTGGAAATAATATACCTAATTGATGACGTCATTAGTCGTTTCTGTCAAATCCCAAAGATAATACTATAGATTTTTAGAATTTTTTGTATCCTCACAATAGGCCCATACTATCGCGTTTGAGACACTGTACAATTCGCCATGAAACACAATGTTTCTAGATGAAAGCCATGAACCTAATCAAATTTAAACTCATACTCATCCGATGTCGGCCAATCTCAAAATATTTTATATGTTTACATCCAAAGGTTTAAAAAATATATGCAAATTAAAAGCTGACATCTGAGGGAAGGCATAAATTAAGAGTTCTCACTTCAACGTTTTGATGAGGTTCCCTGCTCATTTTGAAGGAATGCATAATCGCCAAGCCTCCATTACATTGTTTACATCCGGTGTGTAATACAATATTTTCATTCGTTCAACATGGTCGAAATTAGCGTCTGTTTTCACTCTCCATGGATGGTTATGGGCTTAGGAGCACGGACCCACATTCCTAATCAATCAGACCACTTGAAAATTTGACACTTTTAAGGCTCCGATAACGTCACGGATCACAAGCAGATTTACTGGCCGTGTTTTGGTGTAAATGGATATACACAGTGATCCTGAATAGGAGCTATAAACCCTAACACAAAGAAGGACTCTCCAAAATAGTAAAAATGCTGCCATCAATATATATTAATATTCCACGTCTGTATTTTGTTGTCAGTCAAATTATGTCGTTTTAAAAAGTTATTGTGGCAACGAAAAAAATATTTGGAATTTTTTTTCTCCTCGACGAAATTACACTGAAACTTTTTCCTATCATTTGAAATGACATTCATTTATTTTCTTCTGAAATTCTGTTTAGTACAATATAAATACAATTCTTCATTCTTTTTTTCTAAACGCCAAATTTTATTATATACAGGGTGTTCCTAAATAAGTGTCGCAACGGAAAACTGTAAATTCCTCTTGAAAAAAGAAACATTCTTTTCCTCTTCCATTTTTCTCTCTGGGTTTTCGTTTTCGAGATATACGGTGTCAAGATTTTCATTTTTTAAAATTTTTTTGCCAATATCTTAGGAACCGTTTGAATTACAGGACTCGAAACTTGCCGTTTTCGAGATAATTAGTTGTTTTTGAAAAAAAATCACTCTAAATGAGACTAGATAGCAACAAAACTGTAAGAGTTAGAAACCTGCAGTTTTCACAGTTCGTTTTGGCATAAATTACTCTATCTTGTTATCTGTGAGCAAAAGGTGTACCTTATTCAGACTCGGAAATACTGAGATCTACATTTAATAATCTTACGAGTTGAAAAACTTTCTTTTTAAATGGAATGACCCATATTAATTGTCACGGGTGAATCTAAAATTGAATGCCCTTTTGACTGATATAAGGTTGTCCATACTTACTCTAACAGTTTCCCAGAAAAATCAGGTTCTCCGAAAAAGTAACTATGTAACAGCATCAAGAAGGCCTTGCAAAACAACTTTTCTCTCACATTTTA